AAGCTTCTCAATTTGATGTAATCCCATCTGTCAATTTTGGATATGATTGCCTGTGCCTCTGGGGTTTTTTCCAAGAACTCTTTGGCTATGTCAATGTCTTGCAGGGTTTCCCATATATTCTCTAATAATTTGATGGTATCAGGTTGTAGGTTTGGATCTTTAATCCATTTTGAGTGGATTTTGGGGTAGGGTATAAGGTAGGGGTCATACTTCTGCATGTGGAAAACCATTTGTTGAAGAGACTGTTCTTGCTCTAGGGATTGATTTTAGCTCCTTTGTCAAAAATAAGTTGTTGTAGATGTGTGGGTTGATTTCTGGCATTTCTATTCTGTTGCATTAGCCTATCCATCTGTTTTTGTACCAGTACCAGGCTGTTGTGATTGTAACTGCCCTGTGGTATGTCTTGAAATCTGGTATTGTGATGCCTCTGGCTTTGTTTTTGGTATATAAGATTCCTTTAGATATTCAGGGTCTCCTGTGTTTCCATGTGAATTTTAGCATAATTTTTTCTATATCTGAGAAGAATGTCCTTGATATTTTGTTGGTATAGCATTGAATCTTTAAATTGCTTTTGGTAATAAGGACATTTTTATGATATTGATTCTTCAAACCCATGAATGTAGAAGATTTTTCCTTTTTTGGGTGTCTTCTATTTCTTTAATGTTTTGTAATTCTCATTGTAGAGATCTTTGATATCCTTTGTTAAATTTATTCTGAGGTATTTAATTTTTTTGGTAGCTATTGTGAATGGGATTAATCTTGGAAGCTCTTTCTCAGCTATGACATTGTGTGTTTGACTTTTGTGTGTTCATTTTATATCCTGCCCCTTTACTAAACTCTTCTATGAGTTCCAATTGTCTCTTAGTGGAGTCCTTTGGATCCCCAATATATAGAATCATGTCATCTGCAAATAGGAATACTTTGATTTCCTGCTTCCCAATGTGATCCCTTTGATTCCTTTTTCTTGCCTAATGGCTCTGGCTAAAACTTCCAGGACTATATTAAATAGCAGTGGTGACAGTGGGCATCTTTGTCTGGTTCCAGATCTTAGTGGGAATACTTCCAACTTTTCCCCCATTCAGTAGGATGCGGGCCATGGGTTTGTCATAAATTGTCTTGAGTGTGTTGAGGAATGTCCTTCTATAGCCAGTTTGATTAAACTTTTTATCATGAAAAGGTGTTGTATTTTATCAAATGTTTTCTCAGCATCTACTGAGATAATCATATGGTTTCTGGTCTTCAGTTTGCTAATGTGATGTATCACATTGATTGATTTGAGAATGTTGAAACATCCCTGCATATCAGGGAAAAAAATGTAGCTTGGTCTGGGTGAGTGATCTTTCTGATGTATTGTTGGATTTGATTTGCTAGTATTTTGTTGAAGATTTTCGTATCTATATTCTTCAGGGAAAATGGCCTGTAGTTCTCTTTCTCTGTTGTATCTTTTCAGGTTTAGGAATTAAAGTGATGCTGGCTTCATACAAGTAATTTGGGAGAATTCCCCTCAGTTGTTTTGCATAACTTGAGAAGAAGTGGAGTTAGTTCTTTAAATGTCTGATAGAATTCAGCAATGAAGCCATCTTGTCCTGGGCATTTTGCTGTCAGGGTGTGTGTGTGTGTGTTTGTGTGGTCTTTATTGCTGATTCAATTTTCATCTTGGTAATGGGTCTATTTAGGTTTTCTATGTCTTCATGCCTAAATTTGGGTAGGTTGTATGTGTCCAGGAATCTATCCATTTCTTCTAGGTTTCCCAGTTTGTTGGCATACAGCTCCTTGTAGTAATTTCTGATGATTCTTTTATTTCTGTGGTATCTGTTGTTACATTTCCTTTTCAATTCTAATTTTATAAATTTGGATTTTCTCTTTCCTTTTTTTGGTTAATTGGGCCAATGGTGTGTCGATTTTGTTTATTTTTTCAAAAAACCAGCTCTTCGTTTCGCCGATCTTTTGTATTTTTTTGTTCCAATTTTGTTGATTGTTTTCTCTAATTTCAATTATTTCTTTTCTCCTACTAGTTTTGGGTTTGGTTTCCTGTTGTTTTTCTTGGTCCTTGAGATGCATTCATGGCTCATTTATTTGGTGCCTTTCCAATTTCTTCATGTAGGCACCAATTGCTATAAACTTTCCTCTTAATACAACTTTTGCTGTATCCCATAAGTTTTGATATGTTGTATTGTCATCTGTATTTGTTTCCAGAAATTTTTTGATTTCTCTTTTGATTTCTTCAATGACCCACTATTCATTCAGGAGCATGTTGTTCAGTCTCCATGTCTTTTTATCTGTTCTAGAAATTCCTGAATTGTTGATTTCCAGCTTCATTCCATTGTGGTCACAGAAAATGCATGATATAATTTAATTCTTTTGAATTTGCTGAGACTTGTTTTATGGCCTAAGTATGTGGTCAATCCTAGAGAAAATTCCATGCACTGGTGAGAAGAATGTGTGTTCTGTGACTGTAGGATGGAAAGTTCTGTAGATCTGTTTGGTGCATTCGGTCTATGGTGTAGATTAACTCGGTTATTTCCTTGCTGATTTTCTGTCTGGTTGATCTGTCCATTGCTGGAAGTGGGGTATTGAAGTCCCCATTACAATTGTATTTGAGTCTGTGTCTCTCTTTAGATCCATTAACATTTTTTAAATAGTCAAGTGCCCTGTAATTAGGTCCATATATGTTTGTAATAGTCACATCTTCCTGTTGAATCAGTCCCTTAATCATTGCATACTGACCTCCTTTGTATCTTTTAACAGTTTTTGTGTTAAAGTCTATTTTGTCTGATATTAGGATGGCTACACCAGCTCTTTTTTGGTTTCTATTAGCGTGGAATAATTTTTTACATCCTTTCAGTTTCAGTCTGTGTGCATCTTTGTGGTGAGATATGTTTCTTGTAGGCAACAAGTAAATGGGTTTTGTTTTTTAATCCATTCAACCAGTCTCTATCCTTTAACTAGAGTTGAGGCCTTTTACATTCAACATGACTATTGATAAGTAACAACTTTGCCCTGCCATTTTTCTATATATACTCCTATCTTTTACTTTGGATTTCCTTTGTACTTTTACTGGGAGATTTTCTTCCTTTACCTTTTTTTGTAGTGATGATCATGTTTGTTTTTCTGTGTGTAGCACATCCTTAAGCATCTTTTGTAATGCTGGATTGGTGGTGACAAATTCTTTCAATTTCTATTTGTTATGGAAGGTCTTTATTTCACCTTCATTCATAAATGAGAGCTTTGCATGGTATAGTTTTTTTCCTCTTAAGATTTAGAATATATCTCACCATTCTCTCCTAGCCTGTAGGTTACTTCTAAATAATCCTACAATCAATGTTTTGAATTCCGTTTCTGGCATTTCTTCAGTCTCTTCATCTTCACATTTTGGTATTGAAGTGTTGTGTTCTTTTGGAGCATCATGTTGTCTTCCTTATTCTTGCTTCTTGAATTGCTGCATTTATTACTAGGCATTTGTGGAGATACTTGTTGGTTTCTTTTTTGTTTTGTTTTTTTCTGTGATGACTTTTATCGTGGACTGTGCCTCTGTGGCTTAGTCCGCTTTTTTAGTGAATGTCCAGAGGCATGTGGTAGGTGTGGCCATGGAGCTCTGTTCAGTGCTCCAGGGTGAAGGGAGTGTTGCCTAAGGTGACACCCAGGTTGGGCATGGCAAATCAATCAATCAATCTCTCTCTCTCTTTCTCTCCCCGCCCCGTTTCTCTCTCTCTCTCCCCCTCCCTCCCCCCACTCCCTGTTTCTCTCTCTCTCTCTCTCTTTCTCTAATCAGAGAAGAAGGTTGTTCTGCTCTGTTGGCGTAGTCTCATGCTCACCTCTTCTCCTCCAAGCAGACCAATGCCTGGCTGCTGGCCCCAGTGGATATAGTATTCATCTATGCCACCACAAGAACCACACAAAGTATCTGTGCAGTTCCGGGTGTGAGCACAGTTCCCACAGCAATGACTTTCACCAAGGAATCAGGGAGCCCCGAGTGTGTGGAGCTGCCCATAGTGACTGTCCACAGTCCCAGCCACACCCTACATGCTCCCATGCAGCCCCAGTATTCACAGCCCTGGCACACAAGCCTCCCACAGTCATGAACACCCAGCCCCCTGTCAGCTCTCCAAGGCAGACTCAGGCATCTCCACTTGGCTGGTTGCTGGGCATACGGATGTGAGCTGGTGCGGGTGTTATGCATGTCCAAAATGGCGCCCACTGATTCTTGCCTTGTTACAGGATGCTGGTGCAGAGTGGGCAGAGAGAGAGAAATGAGCCCCCTTTCTCCCCCTAGGTTGGCAGGTACACTGTCCCCCACAGGCTCCAAGCCAGACTCATGCTAGGCTCTTCCCACAGCTTTATCACCAGTGGCTTGGCCTGCTGCAGTCTGGTCTCACCTCATTCTCCAGAGTTGGTGCTGATACTCTGGGCTGCTGGGGTCCTGAGTTGCATGCGTAGGTCCATAGTGTCCCTCTAATTTGTGTGTAGTTTCCTCTACTGTTTTCTCTCTAACTCTTTCTGAGACTGCAGTCTCTCTACTTTTAAACTATCTTCCCTGGACTAGAACAGTAAGCTCCCTCCTTGTTCCACCATCTTGGATCTTTCTTATCAGTGCAATTTCTTTTACAGCTAGAGGCAAAACGCTTCCCAGAGGGAAATACTAAAATGTGTCTCCTCTCATCAGAGCAGCAAGCAGAATTTGTGATCATGATCCTCTGCTTGGAGGCAAAATACCTTTCATATTCAGGCAGATTTTCTATCAGAAATGCAGGGGTCTGACATGACAACATGGGAAGGGAAGGCTTTTCGCCCAAAGGGACATGCTGAGAAGTGAGGCTGGGGTACGAAACTGAGCCCTTGGCCACATTTACGGGGTGAGGAGCCAGGCTCACCTCCTGCTCTCCTGTAGCCTGGCCTCTGCCAAGTGCCCTCAAGAGGCCATCCTGCCCCAAGCCTGCGGAGCATGGGAGGGTACTCCTGGGTGGGGCTGGCAGTGACAATTCTGCTTTTGTCATCCTCAGCCCAGCATCAGCGGGGTGGACCTGGATAAGTTCCGCGAGATTCTCTTGCGTCATTGCGATGTGAACAAGGATGGAAAAATCCAGAAATCCGAGTTGGCTTTGTGTCTCGGGCTGAAAATCAACCCCTAATCCCCAGACGGCTTTGCCTTCTGCTCCGGTTGTGTTTCTGTTTCAGTTGCATCTGCACTTACTGCTGGGGGCACAGTAGTCACATTTCCTCATAGCTGGTGTGGTTTTCTTTGGGCAAGGGTTGGTTCCCAGGGGTTTCCTCCCAGTGACTGGTGTAGTCCTGGCTCTCTGAAAGCCCTCTCCCTCACCCCCACTCAGCCTTGGTGCTGTCCCTCCCCTCACCCCCGCTCCCACCCCCACCCAAAGACTCAGCCATTGTGTTCACTCTGCCTTGCTTCTCCTTCCTGGCCACCAGGGCGGTGGGGACAGCCCAGTCTACCCATCTGTGCATCTCCTGGTGGACCTTTTGCTGTGTCTGAATAGTGTGGGGCACCTGTGTCAGTCCTGTACCTTCTGCAAATAGAACTGTAATGTGCAAATAAAAGCTGCTGTTGAAAACAAAGCTGTCCTGGGAGTTGTTCTCCGAGTTGTGACCTGTGCTGTGCTCTCCCTGCAAGGCTGACTCACAGACCAATCAGCCACCTGGGGGCAGGGGGCGGAGAAGGAGAATGAAGGCCACTGGCGCCCACAGCCCTGGTGCTCTGGGTTCCCGGCTGCCTTCCCCAGGGACAGTTCCTTGGAGTCCCAGCACGGAAGTAGGAGTTGCTCATAATCACTTTTTACTTGATGGGAAGACGGGAGCGCTCATCCTGGACTGGGCTGTGTGCTTTGCTGCTGCGTGAGCTCAGAGGGAAGAGAACTGGAGAAAGTGTTTCTCAGGTAACTCCAGCATCTCTTCCTACTCCACCCCCACCTCTTCCAGCCTAGTTGTCTGGAGAGCCTGGGCCGCCAACACCTTTTCCCTGCCTCCAGGAGCTCCTGCCCCACCCTGCAGGCCTGCTCTGTGCACTGGAAGGAACACTGGCCCCAGAGAGGGGTGCTTCCTCCCCGGGGCACAGGCAGCAAGACTGGTGTGGGGTCAGTGCCACTCTCCCTTAATGTCCTGGCGAGGCAGCACAGCAGTGGGACTCACCAAAACCAAGCCCCTGGGGACCAGGCGGGCCCATGTCCCTCTTCCAACCTAATTCTACCTCTAGCTCCAAACAAATCTGTCAAGGAACACCTGGAAATTTAACAGCAAAAGCCCCTGTTAGAGGCTTCCCCAACCCGCATACATGCCCAGAATAGTCCAGTGTGACTGATATGTGAACAACACCGCCGCTCTGAGCATGTTGCATGCTGGAAAAAAAAAAAAAAAACCCACAGTGCCTGTGCATGACAGCAAGCAGGGCGCAAACCAGAGTGCCACGTGCCTAGGAGAAACCACCTTGCCTTCCCAAGCCCGTGAAAGCACCTGTTCAGCTCCCATGGAGGAGCCAGTCTATGGAACCCTGGCCACCATGCTGTCTACCTGGTGCTCCAGCATAAGCTCCCAATAAACCACGTCTGGTTTGAACGTCGCTCTCTTGTCAATTTCTGTTCGCACTGGGCTGAAGAACCTTGGGTCAGTGACGCTGGCCCTTCATTTTCCAAAACATCTTTCCTGATAGCAGATGGTGCAGGAATTTCAGTCTTCGTGAATTGTTGCAGATAACCCAGGAGAATGGCCATGTTCAACAGCATATTCAGAACTGCTCCCAATGCCAGATTTCCATCCTCCACGGTGGTTCCCTCATCGGCCCAGCCTTGTCCTCACCTGCTTCTCCTCCCTTTGGGTCACCCTTACCTCCTGGTAGGTATCAGATATGGGTCGGAAGAGGACTAGAAGCTGACTTGCTAAGATAGGAAAGATGTTCACTGTAGAAAGGACAGCAGCGTTAATAAAGTAAGGTTGTAGCCCACCCCAACAGCAGGCGGGGAGGCCTGAGGAAGGCTTTAGCCTCCCAGGGTTGTAGGCAGTTGTCCTTTTATGTCCCTTACCTGGGAAAGGGCCATGTGTTCTCACAGAGACCCACACCCGCTACCAGGGAGTGGGCCTGGATGACCAAACAGCCCCCTTGACATATGCTTGTGCCCAATTTTTACCAGGTGCAGAGTTAACCATCAGTGTCCCAGTGGCTTAGCAAGTCATAGCATCTCCCACACACGGATAATTAATATTCAGAACCAGGATTTAAGTGCCTTCTATGTGATAAGTACTTTTAGGTGTTTTCTATACTGTAGGGGAGTCAATCCTCCAGACCCCTAGGAGGTAGGTGCCACTGCAACACTCATTTCAGAGATGAGAACGCTGAGGCGAATGGAACATGGCCGTTAGGGCGCCACGCAGAGGTGGGGAGCCGCCTGGGCTCCTGACCCCATTAATGGCAGTCCACTTTCATGTACTTCTCAGGAAGGCGTGGCCCCCTTCCCTCCAGCTCTGTTCTCCCAGTAGCCTCCAGGGCAGCCAAGCAGGATACATCTCCAAGTCAGTTCTTCAGGCGACAGCTATGCATCACAGGAGCTGCCGGAGCAGGGAGCAGCAGGGGCCGATGAGCAGGCCAGGGTCTCTTCTACACCAGGGTGGTGTATAATTCAGTGTCACTCATTCCATTCACAACCCGTGCAGCCATCACCACTCTGCGTCTAACACCTGTCATTCTCCTTTCCCACGCCCCTGCGAAGCTCCATCTGTTTTCCGTCTCTATGAATTTGCCTGTTCTAGATAGTGCATGTAAGTTGAACCATACAAGGTTCGCCTTTCTGTGCCTTGCTTCCTTCCCTTAACGTGCTGTTTTCATGGTTCATCTGTGGTGTAGCCAAACCAGGACTTCATTCCTGCTTATGGCTGAACTAAATTCCATTGTGGATAGCCCACACTCCGTTTATCCATGCATCTGTTGATGGACATTTGATTTAGCTCCACCTTTTGATTATGAAGAATAATACTGCAGTGAACACTGGCATGTGGGTATCTGAATCTCTGTTCTCATTTCTTTTGTTTATTTACCTAGGAGTGAAACTGCTGGTTCATATACTGTGGGGAAATTAGTTACACGAAGCAATTCAAAGATGGTGCCCAGAGGAAGTAAGGTGGGTGAAATCCAAAGTTGTTTACCACTAAAGCTAATTGGCCATGCAACATCAGGGGAGGTAACAGAACTAGTAACAAGTGTATAGACAAGTGGCTAGTCCTGTAAAAATCGCCCCGTAAAATGACTGTTTAAGTGATTGCTTGATCCTTAGCCCTGCCCCAACGACTCTGCAGTTTTGTGCTATAAAAGGCTCTGTTATGTGCGAAATAAATGAGTTCTTGCTAGACTTGACTCCCCGCTGCGTCTGATTGTTTCCGGGATCGGGAGGCTGGGGAACGGGCAAGCGGCGCACTTACCTTTCCTTGGACCCATCCTTGTACGGGTGGACTAAGACCATGCATATAGTCATTGTATGTTTATTTATTTTACAGGCAGAGTGGACAGTGAAAGAGAGAGACAGAAAGGTCTTCCTTTTCTGTTGGTTCACCTCTCAATGGACGCTGCGGCCGGCACGCTGCAGCCGGTGCACCGCACTGATCTGAAGCCAGGAGCCAGGTGCTTCTCCTGGTCTCCCACGCGGGTGCAGGGCCCAAGGACTTGGGCCATCCTCCACTGCCTTCCCGGGCCACAGCAGAGAGCTGGACTGCAAGAAGAGCAGCTGGGACTAGAACCCAGAGCCCATTTGGCATGCCAGTGCTGTAGGCGGAGGATTAGCCTATTGAGCCGTGGCGCCGGCCATGTATGTTTATTTTTTTGAGGAACAACCAAATTATTTTCCACCTACCTGTGACATTTTATAGTTCCACTAACCTGCTTCTAAATAAAACTCTCTCTGAAGTGCCAGAAATGAAAACTAGACTCAAGGCTGAGCCATCATCCACTTAACACTCTCTTGAGCTACGTGATGTCAACATTTCAGGTCACTGCTCCAGCCAAGAGCATATTGAATTCTTAGTCACAGGCACTCATGCTCCTCAATGTGAGGATTTACAGTCAGTAGGGTGGTTGTTTTGTTTTAAGATTTATTTTATTCAAAATACAAAGTGATGGAAAGACATAGAGAAAGAGATCTTCCGTTTGCTGGTTCACTCCCCAAGTGAAGCTAGGAGCCTTGTGCACTGTTCTGGTCTCCCACATGGGTGGCAGGGGCCTAAGCACTTGGGTCATCTTCTGCTTTCCCAGGCACATTAGCATGGAGATAGAACAGAAGTATAGCGTGGACTCAAACTGGTGCGCCAACATGGGATCCTGATGGCACCAGCAGTGGCTTAACCTGCAGTGCCATAACGCCAGCTAAGTTAGGTTTTTTTCTTTGCCTTTTTTTGCTTAAGATTTTCATTTATTTACCTGAGAGGCAGAGCCACAGAGAGATGGAGAGACAGAGAGAAAGGTCTTCCATCTGCTGGTTCACTTCCCAAATGGCCACAGTGGCCGAAGCTGAGCTGATCCAAAGCCAGGAGCCAGGAGCCTCCCTGGAGTCTCCCATGCAGGTACAGGGGTCCAAGCACCTGGGCCATCTTCCATTGCTTTCCCAGGTCATCAGCAGAGAGCTAGATGGGAAGAGGAGCAGCCAGGGCACAAAGCGGTGCCCACATGGGATGCTGGCACTGCAGGTGTAGGCCTAGCCCACTATGCCACAGCACCGGCCCCCAGTTAGTAGGTTTTTATTAGCAAAATAACTATTAGCAGGTGCCTAAATAAATATTACCAGATGCCTAATGGACAATGAAGAATTTCCAAGGAAAGAAGGAAAATAACTGTCAACCTAAAATATGTTACACTGCTGAGCTATCATTCAAAATTGGGGAAAAATAGTATTTCAAATTGGTGAATATTAAGAGGACTTTACTCTCATGCTCCTATATATTCTTATTGAAATAACTAATAAATATTATACTTAAGCAGATGAAAAATAAATCCAAACAGAAGTTTGGGGTGCATAAACAATATTGAGCAAAGAAATTGACTTTTAAAAACTTAAATCTTGGAAGTGGCTAATGATTTGGTAAATAAATTATTTATGAGAATATTCACTGTAGTATTAGCTAAAGTAGATAGAAGTCTAGAAACAACCAAAACACTCAATAAGGACAAGGTTAGGTTATGCTACACCTGTGCTATGAAATATTTGCATATTATGCAGTGATAAAAATATTTCCAAAGAAAACATGAAATGTTTTACTCAGTGATCTCTACATCTCTTTTAACCCTAATGTTATATTATGTAATCAAATAGAAAAATAATATTAGATCATTAGTGGTTTCTTGTTCAAAATTCCTGACATCTATTCTAAGCTTTCTGGCACCTAATTATTTTTAAAAATCTGGACTCATCAAAGAAATGTCACAGTTTTCCATATATTACATAATCATCTCAGAAAACACCTTTGTGGTCAGAAGTTCTTTTGCTGGTTCGTCTTCATACAGTCCTGACAGTAGAAGTGAGGAGGGAGCTACTTCTTCTCCTGCAGGAAAAGGTGATGGAATGAC